CAGGGATTAGCTGAGTTCTCATCATGCGGACATTTTATGTTACGATAAGGCCGTTCTCGTTAATCTGCCAACTGGCGAAACCCTCATTATCTATGGTGACAAACCCAGTACCACACTTCGTATTATCTCGAGTATCCAGGCTCAGAAGTGCCTACACAAGGAATGCCACACGTTTTTAGCACATGTAGTGGATGTCAAACGCGAAGTCCAGGACATCAAGAGCGTGCCTGACGTATGCGAGTTTCACGATGTTTTTCCCGAAGATTTTCCAGGAATACCACCCGCGAGACAAGTCGAATTCAGAATCGATCTGATTCCTGGAGCTACCCCGTTAGCCAAATCGCCCTATCGATTAGCCCCAGCTGAGATGCAGGAGCTACCCAACCAACTGAATGAGCTACTCAGCAAAGGATTCATCAGGCCGAGTTTCTCGCCGTGGGGAGCACCAGTGTTGTATTTGAAAAAGAAGGACGAATCATTTAGGATGTGCATCGACTATCGAGAGCTCAACAAACTTACCATCATGAACCGATATCCCCTAACACAAATCGATGATTTATTCGACCAGCTCCAAGGAGCCAACTACTTCTCGAAGATCGGGATATCACCAGCTGCGAGTCCTAGAGAGTGATATTCCCAAGACGGCCTTCCGAACAAGATATGGAAATTATGAGTTTGTAGTGATGCCGTTCGGACTAACCAATGCCCCTGCCGTATTCATGGACTTAATGAATCTGGTATGTCGTCCATTCTTGGATAAATTTGTGATAGTATTCATAGATGACATACTCATTTATTCAAAGAGTAAAGAAGAGCATGACCAACATCTGAGACAAGTCTTAGAGACATTAAGAGTTAACAGACATTATGCAAAGTTCTCAAAATGCGAGTTTTGGATTAGGAAGGTGGACTTCCTCGGTCACGTGGTCAGCGAAGAGGGAATCCACATGGACCCATCTAAAATCAAGGCTATCGAAAATTGGTCTGCACCAACTACACCAACGGAGATTCGCCAATTTCTAGGCCTTGATGGTTATTATCGAAGGTTCATTCAGAACTTCTCCAGCATCGCAAAGCCTCTTACCTCCCTAACTCAGAAATGTGTGACCTACAAATGGGGACAAAAGCAAGATGCCGCATTTCGGACTCTGAAACAGGCCCTATGCAGTGCACCCATTATTTCTCTTCCATAGGGGATCGAATATTTTGTGTTGTATTGCGATGCTTCGAATCAAGGGTTGGGATGTGTGCTAATGCAGCGAGGAAAAGTTATTATGTATGCCTCCTAACAAATGAAAACACACTAAGTCAACTACACCACTCATGACTTAGAACTTGGAGCTGTGGTCTTCGCTCTAAAAATTTGGAAACGCTACTTATACGGTACCAAGTGCACCATCTTCACAGACCACAAGAGCCTTCAACGTATACTCGACCAGAAGGAGTTAAACATGAGACAACGATGTTGGGTCGAATTTCTCAACGACTATGGATGTGAGACTCGTTACCATACGGGAAAAGCGAATGTAGTGGCTGATGCCCATAGTCGTAAGAAGTACTCTGGTCGAAAAGTGAAGTCATTAACCATGTAGATCTATTCGCATCTTTCGACACAAATCAAGGAAGCTCAAATAGAAGCCTTGAAACCCGAAAACGTGATAGGTTAAACCCTTGGAGGAATGGACAAGAATCTAGAGATCAAGAGTGATGGAGTGCGCTACATCATGAACCGAATCTGGACACCAAAGTTTGGTGGGTTCAGAGAGATAGTCATGAACGAAGCACACAAGACTCCATACTTCGTACCACCAGGTTCAAATAAGATGTATATGGATCTCAAACAACTCTACTGGTGGCCAAACATGAACACAGAAATTGCTACCTATGTGAGCAAGTGCTTGACTTGCGCCAAGATAAAAGTAGAACTCCAGAAGACCTCAGGTCTACTCCATTAACCCGAAATACCTGAGTGGAAATGGGAACAGATTTCTATGGACTTCATAACAAAACTACCCAAGACTCAGGGTGGTCACGACACCATTTGGGTGATCGTCGATAGACTAACCAAGTCTGCTCATTTCTTACCGATCAACGAAACTGATAAGATGGAAAGGCTAACGAGAACTTACATCCGAGAGATCGTGCGACTTCATGGAGTGCCGATGTCTATCATCTCGGACAGAGACAGTAGATACACTTCTAGATTCTGGCAATCATTGCAAAAATCCATGGGAACAAGGTTGGATATGAGTACAACCTATCACCCACAAACTGACGGACAGAGTGAGAGAACGATCCAAACTCTAGAAGACATGTTGCGAGCATGTGTGATCAAATTTGGCAAAAGCGTGGGATGTTCACTTACCATTAGTCGAGTTCTCTTACAACAACAGGTATCATATTAGAATCAAGACTGCTCCATTTGAAGCCCTTTACGACCGTAAGTGCAGATCACCTCTATGTTCGACGGAAGTGGGCGGCATGTAGTTGGTAAAAGGTATAGTCCCTGATAGCACTCTCACCAGTCCAGAGATCATTAGGGAAACAACTGAAAAGATCGTCCAAATTCGAGAGCATCTGAAAACCTCTATGGATAGGCAAAAGAGCTATGCCGACAAAAGACAAAAACTCTTGGAATTCCAGGTTGGTGACCGCGTTCTACTGAAGGTCTCACCCTGGAAGGGCATGATACGCTTTAGGAAGCGTGGAAAACTAAATCCAAGGTACATTGGATCCTTCGAAATTACTTCAAGGATTAGTCCAGTGGCTTACAGACTTCAACTTCCATTCGAGCTTAACAAAGTTCATCTAGTGTTCCACGTATCGAACCTGAAAAAGTGTTTGTCTGATGAAACTCTTGTGATTCCACACGACGAAATCGAACTTAACAAAAATCTTAACTTTGTGGAAGAACCCGTCAAGATCATGGATAGGGAAATCAAACAAACTAAAAAGAGTCGCATACCAATAGTGAAGGTTCGCTGGAACGCTAGTCGAGGACCTGAATTCACTTGGGAGCGAGAAGATCAGATGCAACAAAAGTACGCGCATCTCTTCCATAGTCCATTGGCACTTAAGTTGTAATTAATTTCGGGATGAAATTCCCTCTAACGGGGGGATGATGTAACAACCCGTTATTTCAGGTCAATGCAATGTCTAAAATTCAAGTCTTGTAATCCCTTTGTGAAGTAATAAGAATATCATCGAAAATGAAATGTTAAAAAAGCTCTGTTTGAGTACACTATGTGGTAGATATCGTGATAAGGTTTCCAAAAACATAAAGAACAATAAAATCCGAGTTATAACGAAGGAGTTATGACCAATCAAAGCTTAGTAACAATACTGGTAAAACACTGTTAAGCATAAAACGAGAAATTTCAATAAGATACTTTTCAACCTTATGTGTCTAAATGAAAGTCATAGATATCCTAAAACCATGAACATACATAAAAAGAACGCCCAAATCTGACTCCATATGAGAAAGTTATGATTTTTGGAAGTTTCGGACGTAGCAGTAGACAGCTAAGAACTCGAAATAGAGATCGAGCGACTTTTTGCCAACATGACTTAAACGAGAATAGAATATCTCATCGATGATAGTGCAACGATAAAAAGTTTGACGAAAATGGACAACGGATGAAGAAGTTATGAATTTTTAACGGAATTTTCCTTTTCCAGCCTTTTAAAAATAAATAATAAAAATAATTTCATAATTAGCCGACAGAGTGTAAAAGAAAGTTGTAGAGCGTAGTCTCTCCTACGTGTGGATTTAAAGAACGTCGAAAACGGAGTTTTTATGAGGAAGATATGAATTTTTGAAGTTTATTAAATAAATAAAATATAACATTTAATTTAAATACCCGGTATTATCTGAAGGAGGAGGAGTCACCGGGCTGATCCGAGTTACGCCCAGCGTACCGTTGTACACCCAACATACTCAGGTTCTAGGCCTCGGATCATCCACGACGTCCCTACACCTCTATGCCCTCCCATCAAATGCTTCGTCCGAGGATGCGGTAAGCAGTGACGCACGAGTACACCCCGCGTACCGAGGCGATTCAGCTTCCTATAAAAGGGGTGCGAGGGTTCCGGGCAAATTTTCTCAATTCCTCTCTTTCTCCTGCGTTTTTACTCTATTTTGCATACAAGCAATATCCCGAAGCCCCGGTTTTCATATCCATGTCCCGAAGGAAGTTTCATGCTACCGAGATTCCCGAGAATCTCGAGAAACCCGTTTTCTTTAGTCGAAATTCTGCTCAATTCTTCTCTCGACTACTTCAATCAAGTGAGTTCATACCCCTTTTATACTTCTTCAAATACTTTATAATGTACTTTTAATACATTTCGGGTGAGAATACAAGTAAACACCCGGTTAATCCCGAGTGAAAACATAAAAACTCTTGTTATATCTTGCATGCATTAGATTTACAAAAAATGCATAGTATCCAGGGTATCCATCCTTGTTAAACCATCTTATGCATTCAAAGAACTTATGATTTATGCTTTGTCCAATATTGTGAAAGAGGATAAACATTACATACAAAACTATCATTTTAATACAGACTTAGTCAAGAATCTGTGAGACGATTACATCTTCAATGCTACCTTTTTGTTAAAAGGTACTACCTAAAGTCCCGTCTATGATTTATGCTTTGTCAAACATTGTGAAAATAAGGGATTTTCTTGGAAAAACGCACGAACTTTGGAATGGCATACATTTTTCTCAAAACCGCTTATGAAGTCACCAACTTAATTGTTGACACTTTTTCTTTGAAATAACTTGTATTCTCAGGGAACCGCTAAGCAGGTTTAGAAACCAACTTTTGGGGATTAACGCTCTGACGTTAATTACTTCTTTTGAAAGATGTTTATGTATTTATCTTTTTAACATTTAACGAATACAATTATGTAAACATTTTGAAACCTTTATATGTATGGTGGTGTGTACTTTCCTTACTATGAACTGTTATGATACTGAATATGACGTCCTCCGCCCCCGAATGTTTCCGCCGTTCTGGTTTGGGGGTGTGACAACCAAGACCAGGTTTTGTCGCCTGCTAGGGTTTTCTCGAGGTTGTGATTTGGTTGATCCTGAAACTATCTGCAACTATGCTCTTTTGGAAATGTTCTATAATATGGGCTATCATGAATATCTTGTTATCATCTTCAAATTCAAGAAGCCTAACCTTCCTCCTATGTGGAATGGTTTATTTACTTTACTATTCAAGAGGTTTTCAGAGAGAGTGACTAGATCTAACAGTGCAAGTGAGCTTTTTTCTTACCATTATGTATGGTGTTTATTCAGGGCTTAATCTGGACTATGGATCGGTTCTTTAGGATCAGCTTATCTAGAGTACACTTTCTATCACGAGGCACACAGAGATTTCTTGTGCTTCATTTTAGTCCATTGATGTTCATTGGGCCATAAATTACCTCCATATTCCAGTGTTCGAAGGTTCATGTGTTGCCGCTATTCCTATCTTTCACACTTCAAACTTTATCATGGCTGATAGTTCAAGATTCACAGTTATTGGATCAATTCATGAATCAATGCTTTAGAATGTACCGACTGACAGTGCAGTAGTTCAATCCTATCGCCTCCAACTGGATTCAGGTCCTCATCCAAAGACAGTTGTAATACAACTTCTTGAGGAGGCTGACAAGCCAAAGAAAGGAGGAAAAAGAAAAGCGAAGGTTGGACCCTCCAAACCTGCTCAGATTCCGAAGAAAAAGAAGTTATCCAATCACAGGCAAAGAACTCCAACTCCAAGATATTGTGTTCAGTGATGACCAGGATGACCTTGAGGATTTACATTACAGTCCTTTCAATGTTCCCCGGTTTAGTGATGGCGATGCTCATATGACTCATCGACAATTCAAGGTTCTTCAAGTGAAGTTGGATTGTTTGATTGAATTATCCAAGACCTCCTTCAGCTCTAACTACTCAATTGCAGCCCACAATGCTTTACTAGAGACAATGACGAAAGATCATACTGCAAACCTTGAAAAAGCAAATAAAGTTGTTGAGGATTCATCGCATGTCTGCATGGAAACGACCGAAAAAGCCAAAAAACTAATTTTTGATGCTCAAACATTTACGGGTACTTTCCAGACATCCTTTGAAACAAATGTTTCCAAAGCACATAAGATGATTACCACTCTTGAAACTATTCTTCACACTGAGAAGGATGCTCTTGAGAAGGTTCGTACACGCATTTAAACTGATAATACAGAGTTTCACACTTCCATCTCTTCCAAAATCGACAAGCTTCATGATGATTTGGTACTTAAGAACAAGATAATGGATCATCTCACAGTCAAAAATGAGAAGGTGAAAGTTCTCTTAGTAAAATTAGTGCATGAAAACTCCAAAATTAACGATCTTAAATCTGAGAAAGCCGTTATCAAAAGTTGTGTGGCTGATTTGAATGCTGCTTTGCACAATTTAATTGAGACTCGTGATTCTCTCCTTACTGTCTCCGTTAATCAGCAGTTAGCCAAGAAATTCAAGCCCATCTTCTCGATGCTCGACAGGATTGTAGGTGTTTCAGAATCCTCTATTCCAAAACAAGGTGGATAACTTGCGAGAACTTTTGGAGCAAGAACAATAATTTGTGGTGGTAATGATGAAAATGAAGAGAACCCCGAGTCAAACAAACCGAATGATAATGTAGCTTGGAGTTCGATAGGAAAAGAAAAAGTGATTGATGATGATGGTGATGAAGAAGAGGATGATGATGTGAAATTAAAGCGTAAATCTTGCGATGTAGAACTCAATGAAAATCTGCGACTAGCTAAGGAGGCCGATGAAAAAGAAAAGGCACTTCGTGAAGCCCAAGTCACATTTGAAACTGAGATAATTTTATTTCCTTTGTGGTATGTGGCGCATATAATGAGTGAAGTAATTGATAATTTAAGTGTGTACTGTCTAGAACCTGTTGTTTCATTCGAACTGGAGACTACCTTCGATTCGCAGCTTGATCTGTTGATGACTCCGAAGGCTTTCCAGTTTTGCTCCTTTGACAGGGTTGTGGAAATTGATCTTTCTGATTCAGGTGTTGATCAAATGATCTTCTCGTTTTTCCTGAAGCACATGAAGCCTCAGTACAAAACCTGGAGCTTGAAGAAAATCACAATTGTGAAGGTTTCCAGCCCGATTGGAGCTGATAGTTTTCCAAATGCTCGGTTCAAAGTTGCAAGAGGAGCTACAAGTCAAGTGTATGATTTTACTCTCACAGATCTTCCATTCCTGAACCCGTCTGATTGGATTTTGCTGCTTCATTTATAGCTGAGAGATGAAAAGAAGTTCGAACCCATTGTTGCATATCTTGAGGATGTTGATTGATAACGTCTATTTTATGCATATGTTTATGAGGTTTTCTTATTATTTTATACTATGTTTTTATTATATTTAGAACTAAAAGATACCTAATACGATTTGAAATGTTAAATTACAGTTAAAATGGGAGTGAGGATGTAAAAGGAGGAGAAAGTAGCTAAAAAGATGCAAAAAGGGTGTTGCTGGACAACTTGACCCCTCGTTAGTGTTTTGGCCATATCTCATGACTCATAACTCTGATTCATTATATTCAAAATGTTCCAAAACTAGACACAATTTTAGATGAATTTTGTATTTTAAGACAATGGTGATTCCCAATGAACTCGTCGATTGTAACCCAAATCTATGAGTTAAATGAAATCTTCACGATTCTTGATGCTGACTTGCGGAATATGAGATTTTAATGAAGAAATCACCGAGTTTGTGTCCAAAATCATCAAGTTGATGTTGAAAACTATAAACAGAGCCACAAATTATCCCTAATGAGAGATATCATGACCTAGATTAATTCCTGTGATTATAAACCCCCAAGAAGCCGTTTTGAGGGTCTAGGAGGCGGCCGAAAGGCCATTAAGTTGACAGAAGCAAATATCTAAAGGATTCGAGAGCAGATTTACGCTGATAATCATGTGGTACATTTTTCTGACCAAGATGAACATTCAAACATGATTCTATATGCAATTACTTTCTTATTTGGGTGGTCAAACCCTTTGCTTTGTGTTTATGATTACATGGAACCTTGATTTTGTGGATTAATTTCTATTTGGATTGTTTTATTTGTGTTTAATTTATCTTGTTAAGCTTGTTAAAAGATCCTTATGTGTTAATGACAATTCTTTTCTATTAATTACTAAGTGTATCGAGTTGTATGAACATCTGCTTGATTGCTTGCCTCTTTTTCTTTTGATGACCATCAAGATTGTAAGCCTAGAGTTGTGAACATAACCTAGGGTTAATTAGAAAATAAGTAATTTAATGTTTGAGCATGTGTGATGACCAAACACATATGAGTTAATTGAACTAACCAATTTTATTAACTATTATTACAAGTCTTGCTTGATATGAACTGAACACTAGGGAACCTGTTAGTTTAATCAACTAATCACTGCTGTAATTGAACTATTTGCTAAAGGATTAGTAATAGCGAACATGAACCTAATCATTTTAGAAATCGGTGAACATGAATAAATAATTTTGTGTATGCAATTATCTATGATTTTAAAATGTAATTTATCTAAACCAAAGTACCTAAAGAGATTTGTCTTCGGCCAGTTTATCATGATTTTGCTATTTAGTTGTTTGTTTGAGATTTAATTCCATAAACCCATTCTTTACTGCTTTCGTGTGTTTTGTGTAACCTATAATCAAACATTCTAAATTAATTCACTATTTTTCCCCTTGAGTTTGACACCCTTGCTTATCAAAACTATACTATACTCGATCGGGTTCACTGCCTATAAGGTGTGGGTTAGATGTGATAAACTAGGAATTATAAAAAAAAAAATTAGTCCATTAAATATACACATCACTGATCTGGTACATCCTGGAGGTTGGGAAAATGGATGTTGAAATTTTTGCGGTATTGCGAATGAAGCCAACCATTTTTCCTAAGGAAGCTCCTAAAGACATTAACAAAATGAAGATAGGGAGAATACGAAAGGATGGATTGTAACGCCCGTAGATACGGGCTAGTCAACTAGAGACGTTAAGCGTCAAAAAATGACTTTTTGATGGAAGATTATTTTGAAGGAATAATCTTAATTAAGTTATAGTATATGTTACAAGGTTTCCGTGCATATAAAGAACGCCTAAATCCGAGTTATAACGAAGAAGTTATGACCTGTCGAAGTTTCGCGACAGAACCGACACGACACAAAGCGACGTAAAAAGTGAATTTACGTTAGAGCGATATTTAGCCTTAGAAATCTAAATGAAAGTCGTAGAACTCGAGGGAGTGATTATTTTCCCGATGAAATCGAGGGCAGAAGTTTTAAATGGGTAGGGAGTTTACGTTAAACCGTGAGCGTGCATAAAAAGAACGCCCAAATCTGACTTCGTATGAGGAAGTTATGATTTTTCAAAGTTTCGACTTAGCGGTATGCAGTCCGAATACTCGATTTGAGACTGAGCGGTTTTTAGCCGCAACAATCTAAATGAGAATTGAAGATCTCATTAATTTTAGTATAACGATAAAAAGATAGGCGAAAACGGACGTCGGATGAAGAAGTTATGATTTTATAATGGAGTTTTCCTGTCCCGAACTACTAAAAATAAATAATAAAAATAAATTCAAAATTAGCCAACGGAGTCTAAACAAAAGTTGTAGATCGTAGTCTCACCTACGCGTGGATATAAAGAACGTTGAAAACGGAGTTCGTATGAGGAAGATATGAATTTTTGAAGTTTATTAAATATTTTCGATATTTTATTTAAATATAAATTTTCGATATTATGCAAGGGGGGAGTCACCGGGCTTATCCAGGTTACACTCCGCGTCACCTAAGATTACGCCCCGCGTAAATCGTCCTTCCAACCCCTATAAAAGGGTGTCGAGGGCAGCCGATGTGACATCCCCAAAATCACGGCCAGAAAAGACCGATTTTTTTTTTGTTTATGCTTTATGAAAATCAGAGTACTTCATTTTATAAAAAGGCTGCGGAATTTGTTCCCAGAAAAAAACATGGTAAATACGTTATTAAAACATTTTCGAGGAAACGTATTTATTTCATTTTAAAACGTTTGGGATGTCATCGTTAATACCGAAACATAAGCATAAACAAAACTTACAATGATTTACACTAGTGATCTACATCTCTTTAAATCTCTCAGTAGAATGTCACTTCACTTCGTCACCTGTGATATACATAAACTGAGTGGGTCAGGTTAGGAAACCTGGTGAGTACATAGGGTTTTCAACCCACAATAATATAATTATTATGTTCAATCACACAATCAACCCAATTACCCATCCCCGTTATCCTATTTACTCTTAAGAATTTAACCTAAGAGTCGTCTATCCTGCATTCGTTTATTTCGAAGTCCCTTACTCCCATGGTTATAGGACTGGCACTAAATCCATAGCTGCCGATATTCGTTCGTAAAGCACTAATTCCATAGCTGCTATATCTTACTCATCGGGTACTAAATTCATAGCTACCAGTGCTCAACAGGTACTAAGTCCATAGCTACCAATTCCTACAGGTACAAAATCCATAGCTACCAAAGTCTAACAAATAGGTACTAAGTCCATAGCTACCAACTCCTAACAGGTACTAAATCTATAGCTACCAACGTCTGACAGGTACTAAGTCCATAGCTACCGGTGTTTGTCCCATAGGCACTAAATCTATAGCTGCCAATGTATACTCACGTCATCTTCTATCTTTCACCATTTATCTACCCATCTCATACCCAACATATTCGTAAAAATACATATACAGTTTAAATTCTTTAAAACACGTATAAAACGTTCATCTAACATAGACAACAAGTCTTCAGATAATATGCACACATAGCATGTAGTTTATATAAATAACTTCATATCTATGTGTAAGATGAAAGGGACTATGCACTCACCTGATAGGTGGTGACTCAACACTCGGACAACGCTTCGATACTCTCAAAACAACTTTCCTTCGATAAAACCTAGTATCAACACCACTAGGGTTTAGTCTACCGATATCCGCGACAAATTAATAGTCTGACAATTATTATTATTATATAAGCGTTAAATAACACTCAATATAACTCATAATAATAGCCCAAATAATTATTTTCAGGTCCTAATAATGTTACTATAATTAATCAGAAGCTATATTAAAACTAGCGTAGGCGTAGCTCACTTACAGCGGGTTTTTTGCATAACCAGGCTTCGCTGGAGCAACGTTTCCCAAGCCGAAAGGCTCTTTTCTCGGAGCCGTCGGGTGCTCCGGGGATTCCGCCTCGTGCTAGGGAGTTACCCTAGGCTTTAGGGGGTTAGGGAGGCTTAGAGAGAGAGTTTACAGAGAGAAAGAAGGTTTGGAAGTTGTGAGAATTAATGGAACCCGACACCTCTATTTATAGTGGAAAAACCTGATGGACTCGCTGAGTAGGGGGGACCTACTCGCCGATTTGGTCCATGTGGTGGCCTTCTGGTGGTGCCACGTGTCTAATTCTGGTGGTGCCACGTCACCCCCTATCGCGTATCAGCCTTCAAACTTATAAAAATCATAACTTTCGCATACAAGCTCCGTTTTTGACGTTCTTTATATCCATGTGTAGGTAAAATCAAGATCTACAACTTTCGTTTAGACTCTGTTGGCTAATTCTTGACCGATCTCAAATTTAACAGTAGGAGGCGTTTAGACTGTTAAATGACCGTGAAGAATTCATAACTCCTTCATACGGACTCCGTTTTCGTCTGTCTTTTTACCGTTGAGTTCCTATTAATGAGATATTCAACTCTCATTTAGGTTACGTAAGCCAAAAACCGCTCGAACTAAAATCCGAGTTTCGGGCTATACACTACTAGGCCGAATCTTAGAAAATCATAACTTCTTCATACGAAGTCAGATTTGGGCGTTCTTTTTATGGATTTTCTCAGTTTAACATATTCTACGACTTTCGTTTAGATCACTAAGGCTAAAAAGTCCTCCATCGTAAATTCACTATTTATGCTTCCCGGTGCCGTGCCGGTTCCATCGTGAAACTTCGACGGGCCATAACTTCTTCGTTATAACTCGGATTTCGGCGTTCTTTATATGTACGGAAACCTTGTGACATATTCTAAAACTTGGTTAAGATTGTTTATTCTAAATAATCTTTTGTCGAAAAGTCATTTTCGACCCCTATTGCCTCTAAATTAACTAGCCCGGATCTGCGGGCGTTACAATTATCTCCCCCTTAGGATGATTACGTCCCGGAATCATCAATGAAACAGGGTAGTATAATGACTCCATATGTTATCTCTT